ACTCTGTTGCCCAGGCTGCAGTACAGTGGTGTCATCACAGCTCACTACAACCTCAGACTCCTGGGCCCAAGCAATCCTCCTGCCTTAGTCTCCGAAGTAGCTGGGCCTATAGGTGCATGCCACCATACCCAGCTAATTTTTTAATTTTTTGTAGAGATGGGGTCTTGCTCTTGCTCAGGCTGCTCTCGAACTCCTGACCTCAAGCAATCCTCCTGCCTCGGTCTCCAAAGTGCTAGGATTATAGGCATGAGCCACTGCACCTGGCCAATTTTAATTTTTTAAAAATAATATAACACTTTGGATTCAGCTATTCAAATCAGACTCCTAGATTCTGATTACTAGGTTTAATGGCCATCACAGCTGAAGAAGATAATTTACGAAGATCCAAATGGAAGAAGCCAATCTTAGACTGTACTCACTAAATCATGATAATATCAATTTCAGTCACCAACTCTAAAAAAAAAAGATTATGTAACATTACTTGCTTTAATATAGTCTCCCCATCTATAATCATGGCCAGTGGTGCAGGGACACACAATCAGTACAATAGCAGGAAAATTTTCTTCAGTTCTCTGGCAACTCTCATTCAGATTCCCTTTTCGGTGTTATTTATTTTTTTTGAGACAGAGTCTCCCTCTGTTGCCCCCGGTAGAGTGTAGTGGCTTCGTCTTAGCTCATAGCAACCTCAAACTCCTGGGCTCAAGTGATCCTTCTGCCTCAGCCTCCTGAGTAGCTGAGACTACAGGCATGCAACATTGTGCCTGGCTAATTTTTCTATTTTTAGTAGAGATGGGGTCTCGCTCTCGCTCAGGCTGGTCTCAAACTCCTGATCTCAAGCAATCTTCCCACCTCAGTCTCCCAGAGTGCTAGGATTACAGGCGTGTTACTCATTTTCTAAACCCAATCCCCCCCTCACTTTTTAAAATTTAAAACTTCTAAGAAATTTTGAAGAAGAATATTATTAACGTTTTGCCCTATTTGCTCTTTTTCTCTATACATATATATACTTTTTTTCCTTTTGCTGAACCATTTGTAGGTAAATTTTTTTAAACAAAGAAAAAGTAAGCCTCAGGTTTATATACTCCAATAAGTAACAATATCTAGCTAGAATTTGATAACATTGTTTTCATTTCATTATATATGCTTTTTGTTTACCATCTGTTTATAACAAATATAGATCTTCTATCTACTTTAGCAATATAAAATTTCCCTTTAGAATTTATGTTAAAAAGTTAATTAAAAATATTAATTAAATAATTCATGGCAAAAATCATGAAGGTGACACTTAAATGACTGAAGTTTGGAAAACACTGGTAGTTAAGAACTCAGGATCGGAAATATAAAACAGCTTTGGTTTAAATCTTTGCTCTGAAGCAAGTTGTGTGACCTTGTACGGTAACTCTGACTGCAGTTGCGTTTCCTACAAAATGGGAATAAAAGTATCACCACCAGCCTAAGCAACACAGTGAGACCCTGTCTCTACAAAAATTTTTAACAATTAGCCAGGCATGGCCAGGCGTGGTGGCTCACGCCTGTAGTCCTAGCGCTCTGGGAGGCTGAGGCGTGTGGATCGCTCCAGGTCAGGAGTTCGAGACCAGCCTGAACAAGAGCGAGACCCCGTCTCTACTAAAAAAATGGAAAGAAATGATCTGGACAACTAAAAATATATATACAGAAAAAAAGGAAAATTGGCCGGGCATGGTGGCACATGCCTGTAGTCCCGGCTGCTCGGGAGGCTGAGGCAGGGGGATCGCTTGAGCCCAGGAGTTTGAGGTTGCTGTGAGCTAGGCTGACACCACGGCACTCTAGCCCAGGCAACAGAGTGAGACTCTGTCTCAACAACAACAACAAAAAAAAATTAGCCAGGCATGGTGGTGCATGTCTGTAGTCTGAGCTACTCAGGAGGCTGAGGCAGGAGGATCACTGGAGCCAAGAGTTTGAGGTTGCAGTGAGCTATGTTGATGCCACTGCACTCTAGCCTGGACAACAGAGTGAGACTCTGTCTCAAAATAAATAAATAAATAAATAAAAATTAAATAAATAACCTATCTTCTAGAGTTGTTATGAGGACTGAATGATATAGTGCACACAATGAATATAGCACATGTAAACAACAGTGGTTATAACAATTATATTGTTATTATGATTAAAGAATGTTTCCTTACCTATAAAACGGGAATAAAAATATTACCTATTTCATAGAGTTGTTATGAGAATTGAATGACATTATGCACACAATGAATATAGTACATGTAAACAACAAATGGTGGTTAATTACTGTTATTCAGGCAAGAACGTGTGACCACAGAGGAAGACTACAGGGGGAAAAAAAAAGGAAAGGAAGGAAAAAAAAGAAAGAAAGAAAAGAATAGCAAAAAAGGGAAAAGATTAGAGTCAGCCAGGCCAGGCGTGGTGGCTCACGCCTGTAATCCTAGCACTCTGGGAGGCCGAGGCGGGCAGATTGTTTGAGCTCAGGAGTTTGAAACCAGCCTGAGCAAGAGCAAGACCCTGTCTCTACTAAAAATAGAAAGAAATTAATTGGACAACTAAAAATATATAGAAAAAACTAGCCAGGCATGGTGGCGCATGCCTGTAGTTCCAGCTACTCGGGAGGCTGAGGCAGGAGGATCGCTTGAGCCCAGGAGTTTGAGGTTGCTGTGAGCTAGGTTGACGCCACGGCACTCTAGCCCGGGCAACACAGTGAGACTCTGTCTCAAAAAAAAAAAAAAAAAAGATTAGAGTCAGCCAGAAATGGGGGCTGTGAGCCAATGAAAGCACGGAAACATGAAGAGTCAGATGAATATTAAAGCTAAAACATGAAATAATATAATGCCACCTGAAAGATCATTCCTGACACTATCATTAATGTAACAAATAAAAATGTCTTGCCACTTCCTGCAAGTTCACTGTGTGCCAGGTACAATGCTAATATATAGTGCTTTATATAATTCCTTCATTCCATCCCTTCTACAACCAGGCTGGCAAGGTATTTTTACATTCTCTATTGCACAGGTAAGTGACAAAGCTAAGATGTGATTTTAGGTCTCTCTGCCACCAAAACCCATACTTTTTTCTTCAAATTTTTCTATTGCTTCTGTGGCTTCTCCTCTTCAATTTCCTTTGCTTTACTCTCTTATGATGCTGAAATCCTGAAGGCTCTATTTGGGACTACTTTTCCGTATCCATAGTCTTCTTGGATGTTCCAATTCACCTCTACAGCATCAATTACTTTATATACGCTGATGATTCTGAAATCTATATTTTCAACGTAGAATGAAAAATCTGGAGCTCCAGGTAAGCTTATGAATGCTTCACAAGTTCCTCAAAGTCACTATGTACCACCAATCTCCTCCAATGTTTCTTTTGTTAATGAATAGCACTACCAGTGAGTTGCTTATGCAGAAAATGGGGAGTCAACTTAATACCATTTTCAAAAGTCAATCACTCGGCAAGCCCTATTGATCTTATTTCCTAAATAGTTCTCGAAAACATCCATCTCTCTATTCATCTGCCACCACTCTAATTTAAGTCAACATCTCACCTGCTCTCCTATATCAGTCTTTTAATGATTCTCCCTGCATCCACTCTTGCTTTTCTTTCTCACTTCAATTATTTTCCCAACAGATGTCAGAATGATCTTTTTGTTTGTTTGTTTTTAGAGACAAGGCCTTCCTCTGTTGCCCAGGATGGAGTGCAGTGGCACAATCATTGCTCACTGTAACTTCAAACTCCTGGGCCCAAGCGATCCTCCTGCCTCAGCCTCCCAAATAGGTGGTACTATATGTGCATGCCACCATAACTAATTTTAAATTTTTTTGCTATGTTGTTCAGGCTGGTCTCAAACTCCTGGGCTCAAGTGATTTTCCCACCTTGGCCTCCCAAAGTGCTGGGATTACAGGTGTGAGCCACTGTGGCCAGCCCAGAATAATCCTTTTGAAATACAAATCTGATCACGTCACTCCACTGCTTTAACTATTCAATGGCTCCTAATGCTCTTAAGAGAGAATTCAACATATAATATGGTTAAGAGCGCGCGTACTAAAGACTTAGGTTCAAATCCTAGCTTATTATGATCTGTGAGTATCTTCACAAAGCTTCCATTTCCTCACTAGGAAAACAGAGATACCAGCTCTTTAAAAACTGTTATGAGGATTAGATAATTCCATATAAAGAGTGCAAGTTGTTATTAGCTCTGAGCCTTCCTAGCAATGACATTATTTCCTGCATGAGAACAGTGCTACTTCTAACAATCCTACTTCATGGCATCAGGTCCCTGAATTTTCCAAGATGTCTAGATTCTTCTAAACCAGAAGTCAAAGAAGTCACCTAGCTGCTGAAATATCCATAGCTCAATTGGGAGAGCAATAGATTGAAGTCACCAGATTTTCCTAAACTGATTTTTCATTTTTTTTAATGAAGTTTGAAGGAAGCCACTACGAGACAGACCACACTTATTTCTAAATATAACATTAAGCTCTTAGTATGTAGCTCTTGGCATGTAGATATATAACAACAAATAGTAACTTCGTAAAAAATCAACTAAAGAGGCAAGTACCTGCATAGCTATAGGCCCCTGGGACATTTGAGAGCTGTAATTCATTCCCATCATGCCTTGCATATTAGGTTGCATGACAGAGACCATGGGAAATCCTTGTTGCTGCATTGGCATCAGGCCAGCTGAAAAACATAAAGGCATTGTTAAAGTCAACGTGTTTTAAAGTTTATTTTCTTAAAACCATAAGTACCTAAATGACTTGTTACTTGGAAGGCAGTACAGTGTAGCAGAAAAAGCAAAGGCTCCCGAGACAGACCTGAGTATGAATTCCAACACCATTGTTTACTTAGCTGTGTGATCTTAAGTTACAGAATTTCATCTGAAAAATGAAGATAAAGTCTCTTCTATAGAATTCTTACATATATTAAAAAAGGCAACAGTATGGCCCAATTGTGGTACTTGGCTTTCAAGGTAGTCCCCAATGTTTTCTGCCTCCTGGTATTCATACATTTGTATCATCCCCTCCCACACTGAATAGGGCTGACCAGTATAACCAACAAGATATCGTGGAAATAACAGTGTGTAACTTCCAAGGCTAGTTTTTGAAAGACACTGTAGTTTCCTCCTTGTTCTCCTGGATCACTTGCTCTGGGACAAGCCACTGCCACATCATGAGAAAACTCAAGAAGTCCTATGGAGAATCCACGTGGTGAGATACTGAGGACACCTGCCAAAAGGCAGAACCAATTTGCCATCTATGTGAGTGAGTCTTCTTGGAAGCAGACCTTCCAGTTCCATGAAACCTTCAGATGACTGCAGCCCTCATGGGAGGCCTTCAGCAAGAACCACCTAGGAGAGTCACTCCCAGATTCCTGACCCCTAAACACATTGTAAAAATGATAAAATACCTACTTTTTAAAGTTTTGGGATAATTTGTTATGCAGCAGCAGATAACTGATAAAATAACAATTAAGAGCATGAATCTGGAAGCCAACTAGAAATGCCACTTATGAGCTTTTTGGGACCTTGTGCAATCTGCTTAACTTCTCTCTGTGCCTTGGTTTCTCATCTGGTTTAATACTTAATATGCTCAAAGAAATGTTATTCTTCTTCCTTTTCCTTACATAAATAGTTAATATAACATTTACCACAAAACGGCCATCAGCATACAAAGTATATAAGGCGATGGCAGGAAACTACTGTGAAGGTATGATTTATAGTGACTAGTGTCTCCCAAACTTTTCCAAGAGGCAGAGGAGAGTGAATATATTTCCCTTTGGGGATTTAATAAATACTAAATGCCTACTACATGTTAGGCATAGTTCTATATGCCAGGTATACAGCAGTGAATAAAACAAAATCCCTTACCCACTGCTGAGCAAATTTCATTCTAATTTTGCATTTTATTGCATTATTACATCCATGTTGATTCAACTATAAGAAGGTTTTTACCAAATTTTCAATTTAAAAAATTAAATGTCTGGGAAAGTATACTATGTTTATCTTGTAGTTTTCCTGTATCTTCCAGGTTATTTATACTTAGCTTAATTTCAGAAGCATGGACATCCACATTTGTAGTAACGGCTGTTAGAGGCAGGCCATTCATTTATTCATTCAATCACTTATTCAAATATTTGAAGGCCTACTCCATGCCATGCAACATTCTAGGGACACAGCAGTGAACAAACCAGGTCTTTGCCCTCATGGAACTTACACTGTAATTAGAGGACATAGATAATTAAAAAATAAGTATATATCAGGTGGTGATGACAGCTAGGGCAAAAAATAAAGCCGAGCAAGGGGAAATGGAGTGGTTGCTATTTTAAATAGGACAGTCAGAAAAGGGTTCACCAACAGGTGGCATTTCGGCAAGGACCTGAGGAAATAAAGGAGCAATCCAGGCAGAAATTTGGGAAGAATACTCCAGACAAAGGAACACCAAATGCAAAGACTACAAGGTGTCACAGAGAATTAGATTACACAGATTGAATATAGCCACAATAAGATGTATTCCCTCTTATTCCTTTGGATCTAAAATTTATTTTATTTTATTTTTGAATTGGTGACTCAGATATTTAGTACAACATTTAAAGGTACAAAAGTGTACACAGTGAAAAACAAGTCTCCATCTCTCCTGTCTCCTGTTCAAGTACTCATGATCTTGTGACCACCTCTGTTGTCAGTTTCTTGTATATGCTTTCAGAAATGATCCGTGAATAATTTAAAGCCTTCAAATGATCAAAAAGTCCATTCTAACATACACTGTCAAAAAAAAAAAATCTCCTAACCAATTCCAAGTTCCAGAAGAAAAAATACCAGGCAACCTTTTGGGATTTATTCTTGTCTGGTTCCTTCACTCCATATGTAGATTTTTACTTGAACATTTACAAAAATGCAGAATTACAAGCCAAAATGATGAACACATAACTTTGTAATATCTCCTAAACAACAGATCTCAAGCCATTTGATCTCAATCTGGGACACAACTAATTACAGATAGCTTAAATAATGCATAAATGTGAACATAGTGAAAAGAATACAACTGACCCTTGGAAAAATTTACCTGAAACTCAGCCTCCATCACTGATTATAAATGGAGACAAAGTCAGGATGAACCAATGACCACTTGCTACTCAGCTGCTCTTTTTCTTTTATCTCTACTGGTGATCTAGGAGTCTCTGTTTCTCTAGCAAGTCTACCATAACTGGTCAACACTGGCTTTGTGAGAAGGGCCAGTTTTCAGAGGCAGACTGGTGTGGGGGGAAGGGGAGGATGTCAGAGGGGGAGAAGTGAGCAGAAAGCAGCAAGAGAAGGGCAGATATATTCCTCTTTCAATGTGGTGTCCCAGTTGCACAGCAGCTAGAGTCAAGATTATATACCTTCACTGCTGTTTCCTTAAATGTCCTTAAGGGACACAGTAGTGAACAAAACAGGTCTTTGCCCCAAGAAGTCCTGTGGAGAATCCATGAATCGATATTGGTGGGCTCTAGTCTGAGACCAAGAGAGAAAGTGTATACCTAATAAAGAAATTCCTCAGAATAAAACTAAGACTTAAATTCTTTATTTTTTAATTTAATTTTTTTGAGACTTAAATACTTTAAGCTGAATCACAATGTGGTCTCTTTTATGTGCATGATTATAATAAGATCATACCATATAAAGAAAAAATAACTGTAAAACAAAGAGGTTCGTTTATTCATTCGACAAACATCTACAGAGAACCTATTACATCAAATCACCATGCTGGGCGCTGGAGATACTAATGAGCAAAAGACTGACATGGCCCTTGCCCAACGGCACTAACAATGTAGCAGAAGACTAGATAGAAGGAGAAAGACATCATTAAGAGAACTACAGCTCATTTCATTTTAATCACTTATTCTTTAATACTCTTGTGAAAGTCCCCTTCATCTCTGAGGTTAAATAACAATCAGCCAACGTAATGTCTATGTAAGTTTCAGAGAAATGAGGAATGATCCTTATTACTCCCCAAATTTCACAATTTTTGAGAAATTTTAAGAGTAGCTGCCATATAAATTTAAGAGTGGAGGATAATTTTACTCTATTTGGCAGCCATAGAACTTCATTTCTATTTACCTATTTAATCCTCAAGTTCAGAGACATGATGGTGAAAAACAAAAGTTCGAAACTTAAGCTTTCACATACCTTGAGGGGGTCTTATTCCACCTGCAACAGGAAACATGAAGCTGAAACAGAACAAAAATACATCATAATCTTCGTTATGTACAAAGATTCCAAATAAAACATGTAATTTTTTCCACGGATGAAAGAATCGTAGATGGGGTCTGGTGTTGGTTCTGCAGTACAATATTGCATTGCCCAACATCAATACAGACTGAACATCCATATGATGAATGACCATCAGCATAAGTGCAGAGAGAAAATTTTTGACATGGAAGCCAGAAGATCCTGAAACTAGTCCTGGTTCTATCACTATGTGACTTCCTTGGATTTCAGCTTCCCTATCAATAAAATGAACCATAAAATGAGAGGGTTGGATTAGATTCAATTCAGTGAACATTTATTGAGTATCTACTATACGGAAGGAATGAAACAGCTCCCAATGTTGAAGACACAGATGGAGGCAAGTTAACTGTATCACAGGATAAAAATGTCCTAACTGCTATAAGAAAGGTCCAAAATACTAATAGAGAAGAAAAAGATTAACTTTAATAGGTTATATCTTGGTTAGTTTTGTGGAGGTAGCTTTTGAGCTGAATCTTAAAGGAAAATAGAGGCACACTATACAGTCTGAGCAAAAGCTCTGAGGCCAGAGATGCAGGGATACTCAGAGAAATGAATTTAGGTAAAATATTAGGTATATGATTAAAAAGTAAAGAGACTATAGAGGACCTTTAAAATGTTTACTTTTATTTTGGATATTATATGAAACTGTCAGAAGTTTTTTCATTGTGTGGTAACATGTAATTTTACATTTTAAACATTTTTAAGTATATTCAGTGGCATAACTAAAGACATTCACAATGCTGAGCAAGTCTCACCACTATCCATTTCCAGAACTTATCCATCATCCCAATCAGAAACTCTGTACCCATTATACAGTAAGTCCCCATATTTCCTCTCTGCAGCCCTTGGTAACCACTATTCTACTTTTGGTCTCTACGAATTTGCCTATTCTACATACCTTATATTAATATAAATGGAATCACACAATACTTGCCCTTTTGTAGCTGGCTTTTTTTTACTTAGGCAAACATTTTCAAGGTTCATCCATATTGTAGCATGTATTAAGATTTCATTCGTTTTTATGGCAAATAATACACCATTGTATATATACCACATTTTGTTCACCCATTCATCTCTTGATGGACACTTAGGTTGTTTCTTCTACCTTTTGGTGTCTTTTTTTTTTTTTTTTTTTTTGAGACAGAGTCTCACTCTGTTGCCCAGGCTAGAGTGCCGTGGCATCAGCCTAGCTCACAGCAACCCCAAATTCCTGGACTCAAGCAATCCTTTTGCCTCAGCCTCCCAAGTAGCCGGGACCACAGGCATGCGCCACCACGCCCAGCTAATTTTTCTATATATTTTTAGTTGTCCGATTAATTTCTTTCTAATTTTTAGTAGAGACGGGGTCTCGCTCTTGCTCAGGCTGGTCCCGAACTCCTGAGCTCAAACAATCCACCCGCCTTGGCCTCCCAGAGTGCTAGGATTACAGGCGTGAGCCACCGCGCCTGGCCTACCTTTTGGCTTTTGTTTAATAACACTGCTATGAACATTGGTACACAAGTATGTCTGAGTCCCTTTCAATTCTTTTGGATATATATTTAGGAGTGGAATTACTAGTAATTCCATGTTTCCTTTTTCAGAAATTGCCAAACTGTTTTCCACAACATCTGCACTATTTTATATTCCCACCAACAATGCACAAGGGCTCCAATTTCTCCAATACTTGCCAACACTTGTTATTTTCTGGGTTTTTTGATGATAACCTCCTAATGGGTATGAAGTGGTATTTCACTGTGCTTTTTATTTGCATTTCTCTAATGCCAGAGGTTTTTAAGTAGGAGAGTGATGTGATCAGAAATGTGCTTTAGGTGGTTTCTCTGGTAATAGAGAATGGCAGAGAAGAACTAAGGAACTATCACAATAATCTTTTTCTTTTTTACTTGACCAAAGATATTTATTAAAGCATTACTGTATTACAGTAAAAATGAAAATAACTATAATGCCTATCAATAAGAGGTCAGATAAGTAGTTGTGATTTATTTATACAATGGACTGCTAGGCCCATGTTGCAATGAATAAAGTACACATTCTGACATAAAAAAGATTAAGCTGAAATGCATGAGATGCAGTGTGGATCCGATACATGTTCATTTTTTAAAGCTATATATGTTTATATGTCTGTTAAAAAGTCTAGGATCGTCCTAACTGTTCATAGTGATCATGGGGGAGGAAAGAGGGAATGAAGAGGAGACAGGGATATTTTCCTTCTAACTTTATATACTTTTGCTATTTTTTTTTTACTGCAAACAAGTATTACTTCCATAATTAAAAAATAGGTAGGCTGGGCGTGATGGCTCACGCCTGTAATCCTAACACTCTAGGAGGCTGAGGCGGGCGGATCGTTTGAGCTCAGGAGTTTGAGACCAGCCTGAGCAAGAGTGAGACCCCGTCTCTACTAAAAATAGAAAGAAATTGGCCAAACAATGATAGAAAAAAATTAGCCGGGCATGGTGGTGCATGCCTATAATTCCAGCTACCTGGGAGGCTGAGGCAGGAGGATCGCTTGAGCCCAGGAGTTGGAGGTTGCTGTTAGCTAGACTGACGTCACGGCACTCTAGCCTAGGGAAGAGAGTGAGACTCTGTCTCCAAAAAAAAAAAAAAAAAAAAAATAGGTAAAAGTTTAAAAGAAAAAAGGGGAAGTGAGAGTGTACAGAAGGTGAGCTCACCCTAATTCACCCTGTGTGTGCCTTGGCCCTGGCGTCTGAGGGCTTCTAATCCCAGGGAAGAGGGTTAGGGCTGCCCAGTACTTACGGTTTTTCTACAGGGCACTGCAACCCCAGAATATTTAGGAGGCTTCCAGCAGCAATGACTCCCATGAAGCCTGTGTGGATTAAATGAGCTAATATACTAAAGGCACTAGGAAAGTGGCTGGTTGGAAGTAAGTCCTCAATACTAGCAGCTTTTAGTTATTATTGTTATTACTCAAATGGAGCCTGCAGCCCAGTCCTGCAGAGACCCCTGTACTTCCAGATTCTTCTCACTGGCACAGATTTTAAGCATTCAGGGCATGTCAGGGCTGTAACTGCACTTAATTGCCAATAAAACCACTTCATAATAATCTTAACAACAGATGACAAGGGTCATAACTAAAGTATTATAGTAGGGATGGCAAAGTAGAAGTGAATGAAAGATAGGCAAAAGAAATAATCAACAGGACTTGGCAACTGCCAGGATGGGGAACAGTAGTGAAAAATCAGGAAGAGCTGAAGGTGACACTGAGACACTGTGCCTGAGCAACTGCAAGGATGGTGATGCTGTTCACCGAAGACAGGAACCCAATGAGTAGTAGGGAGAAAGGTAGTAGGAATGTGTTCATGAGAAGCAATCTAGCAGGCAATCAGAAAAGTAATTCAAACTCAGGAAAAAGATCTGGATAAATCTAGCTAGGTCCTTTTTAAATAAAGGTAAAAAAAATTAAGCTTTGTTTACATATGAAATAGCCAAGGGACTGTGTATATCTAGTAAGAAGACCACTAAGAACAACCTTGGAGAACTCTTGCAGTGAAAACTGAGAAGGGAATGGTCACTGAGAACCAAGGGAGTTATAAGGGAGTGGCTCGTAACTCAGTTGTAACTGAGGAAGGACCAAATTTCAAGAAGTAGTTACCAGTGTCTAATGCTGTAGAAAAGCTGGTCAGAATGAGGATTCATAAATACATTATTGCTTTTGAAAATGGTGATCTTTGAGTGAGCAGTTTCAACAGAGGAAGAGACCTACAGGGAGAAAGAAAGATTTAGGAGACAAAAAATACACTCAGTGATTGATAAAACAGGTTTTTGAGGAAATGAGATTAACACAGCAAGGTAGCAAAAGGTGTCTGCTTTGAAAAGGAACAAATCAAGGAAGAAAACTTAGTGGGAAAAGGTTCTTACTGTGGGGGAGTCAATGATCTGCATGGGAGGTTTCTAGATAGTCTTCGGAGAGTCTAGTGAAATCCAGGAATCGTATGCCAAATTTATGTGTTCTTGCATTTGAAACAGAACATGACCCCTCTTAGGGGCCTGAAGGGCCCCCCAAGTATGGAATTAAAGGAAAATCCTGAGTCCCTTAGGGGGAAGTTCTGGGCACCTAGCTAGTCCTGAAAAGCGAATGGAAATAACAACGGCTCTCCAAACAAGCCGAAGTCACAAGGCCTCTTGGTTCCCTAAAAGGAACCTAAAAGGAAACTAAAAGGTGTTGTGTTAGTCCATTTTGCACGGCTAAAAAGGAACACCTGAGACTGGGTAATTTATAAAGAGAATAGGCTGATTTGGCTCACAGTTCTGCAGAGCAGATGTAACAGTGGAAGAGAGTCTTAACATAACTAGCTCCATTTTGCTTCTGAGCTCCTGTGTAATATCCTTTGGGTTAAACGCCTCTGCTTAGCTCCCCATGTAGGCTAGAAGAAAGATGAGAACCATCCCTTTCCTAAAACTAACTCCCAGGGAGATAAGGAAAGTATACACAGAAGTAACGATACTATGTTAAAGATTTATAAATGGAACAAACATGTGACCTGACCTACGCCCTTCAAAGTTAACTGACCAAGAGCAGTTTTACAACCTCTTCAGACCCTCACTGATACCCAGATGTCTGCAGTCCTCCATTACCTCTTGCAACGCTGCCCCCTGCCCAATCCCCAACATAAAAAGGAGCCTAAAGTTCATACTAACTTAAGATGGCTCTTTAGGACATTAATCTGCCATCTTCTCAGTTTGCTGGCTATCCAAATAAAAGTCACTTTCCTTGCCCCCAACACTTTGTTTCTCAAGTCTGTCCTGCAGCGAGTGGTACAAGCTTGGATTCAGTTATATGTACAAGAAGCATGGTGCCAGAATTTGCTTCTGGTGAGGGCTTCAGGGAGCTACCAATCAAAGCAGAAAGTGAAGGGAGAGTAGGTGAGTCACATGGCAAAAGAAGGAGCAAGTGGGGGGAGGTGTTACACTCCTTAAACCACCA